ATATTTATAGAAATGAGCGCATTTACCAGGTTCATTTACTTTGACGTTGTCTGTTGTTTAATCTACATGTGTTGCGCGTTTGCAGTTATACTTTCTCTCGTTACCGCTGCCGTAAGTAATTGCCACACGTTCGTTTCGTTTTAATTCTCGCGTAACGTTTTTCTTTACTTTTCAGATGCAGAACGGATTTCAAGACATTCGAATACTTGCAAATTGTCATTTCCAAGTCGAACAGAAACTGAGAGTAAGTTCGGTACATTCAGTCGTTTTCGGTCGATCGCGATTTGAAACTAATAATACTTATACGCGGAGTTAACGCAAATATTTGATTGACAGATGCTGAATTTCATGAAGAGATTCGGTAAAGCTTCGTTGCTTTTTTCGGCGGAGGATTACTTCAACGTAACCAAGAAATTTCCTATCAAGGTAAAAGTCGAAATAATAAATTCAATATCGAAAATTTACCTTTCCGAAACTCGTGACGATTGAGCAGTTTTTACATCAACCAGTTTTGTAACTTTAAGCGATAACATTTTATTGTTAGCCTATATAAGATGCACCCCCGTTTATAACGGTTATTTCGTTAGCCTATGGGAGATTGCCACTGTAACTGTAAGGCCCTGTACACACTAGGCGTTTTTCAACGCGCGTTTTAAAGAACCAAGAGTTCTATGTAGGGGTATACACTCAAACGCCAAGCGCGCGTTAAACGCGCGTTTATAGATTTTTGTTAAAACGCGCGTTTTGCGGGCACTTTACGGGCGCTTTGAGATATATGTGCTGCCTTATAGCGACGATGGAGGAGCACACACAATCAATTACTTTCTCGTCCATTTCCAAACTGAGCCAGTGCTAAACGCCGAACTAACGCTCGTCGAACGCCGAGCTAACGCGCGTTAGCTCGGCGTTAAACGCGCGTTGAAAAACGCCTAGTGTGTACAGGGTCTAAGACTCGGACAATTTTAGCCCTCTTTTTCAGAAAAGTTTCGTTTTATTTATCTATATCTCTCTCTATATCTATATCTATATCTATCTATATATATATAAATGGACATGTATGTCCCTATATTTCACTTTTCCGCAAAAACTACACATCGCACGTGAATTGTGTTTGTATGTGGTGGTAGACCCAAGTCTCCATTCGTGCATAGGTGTGGTTGCGTCTCGATAGCTATAAGGGTGCGGGAGATATGAGGCTGAAAGTGGTTGAAAGTGGAAGATTTTCTATTTCGATTTTAAAAATTTTCGATTATAGAACGATTGTAAACGTTGCAGAAAATTGATCAAATTGAAAATAGTTCGTTTGACTGGACGTGAAAGTTCTCTAATGAGTCTGGAAACGGGGGACCTAATTCTTGCATTCTGTGAAAACAGGTAAGATTGGCTATAATGTAATTATCTTAATCTTCACTATCGTTACTTTCTGCCCACAAATAAAAACACAGCGAAGCGGGTCCTTGCAGCTAGTGTAAAATAAATGGAATACAACACCTTTCGCGACGTTGCGGGCAGAAAAAATATACAGTGGTTACATTTCAAATCTAATTGTATAGGAGAAATAATTAAATATTCACGTTATATATTTAAACGAATTCTTATATTTATTTACAGATGGCGAGCTCGCTTCATTCCATATTTTCCAGTCTTACAAACTTGAGGAGTGTGGAACAAAAAACAAAATGTATCGAAGGCGATTCGAAAAAACTTCGGAATCTCTTCTTAAATTAAATTTGGCACGGAAAGAGCGTACAACTCAATCGATGATAAATGTAGTATTAGGCATTATGTAAAACTATTTAGGAAGACTTCTAGTTTGAAAATATTACGTGTAAAGCAATAAATAAATTAGATTTTTTTCGTCTAAATTATATTTAAATGTCACTAATTAGGAACCTCGGAGAAACGATCATCGAATAAACTAACGGCTTTCTGAATAAACGAAATACAGTATTCGTTTCTATGATCACATTATTAACTAGTAGCCCGGGACGCCCCTAGTGGGCGTTCTTAACAAATTCCCGAGAAGTACGGTTCCTTTGACTTTTTTGTTCCTATCAATATGCTCTACAGCTCTGTCAAAGTCCCAATCGCGTCGTGCGGATCTAGATTTCTACCTATTAAACATTCTATAAATACTTTAAAATAGTTTAATTTGTTTATTTACCTTCGCTCTTAAACCTCGATTTTAAATGTATCCGCCATTTTTTCAACAAATTTCCCGTGAGTCGATGCGCGACGTTCGCCGAGTCGCGGGATGTCGTAAACGTGTGGCGCGAGGTTAATCGAGGCATATAATAATAATTTATACCATTCCGTGGTATAAATAATAAATTCCTATTACAAATAAAAATAATTTATTGTTAATTTAAAATCATCGCTAGGGCGCCTCTAGTGCCCGTTTTTGGCATACCGTTACGCGGACGGACACGCGTTCAATGGGTTATATAGATAGATGTTCTGCATTCTTGTAACAATCACATTATTGTTTACTTTTCACTTATATAGTGTTTATTTAACTACTTTTTACACATCGGAGAAACAATAATAAAGTAAAATATGCAAGCATCTTTTGTGGCTTTTTCATTACTCAAATTAAATATTTGGCCCGCGACTCAATGAGCGCAGTGGTGAGTCGGAACCGTCTCAGACTGCGCTCATTCAATTCCTCTTCTATACTTTCATCACTGTTATATTTTAGGCATCGAGCTACGTCGTGTCCGCGAAGAAATGCGTATTATACAATGAATTTTCACCAAATCTTCATTTAACAGAAATATGCTAATTTGACAATTCTGTGACTAGTTTTTATCGCAATGGCGAATCTGCCCGGTCATTGTGGAGTTTTTAATAAACAAAAAAAAAACTCACGGAGGACGAGATCGTGACCATCGTACTGTACAATGTAATTAATTTCCTCTTACTAACTTTGCCTGACATTCCGTCAGGCAAAGTTAGTAAGAGGAAATTAATTACTCAAAAAATAAAATAAATTTTTAAACACTTTTCGTTTTCCAGGAAACGGAAAATTAATAATAGTGAAAATAAAAACCTTTCCTTAAAAAACGACAAAGCAAAACTAGACAATGTAAGTCCAAAGATCAACTCCCTGCGGTTGGGATCGTTGCGAGTTAAACGTCGATTTTGACTCTTCCCGCCACGTAAGTCTAGATCTCGATTCACTTAGCAACAAGGACGACCACTTAGAAAGTGAAGAGGAAAATCGAACGATCGGGGACAGAAAATAACAATAACCCCCGAATTTCGATTTCTCCGAGTTGCCGAACCTTTTTTTGGTCGCGTATTCAACGTCACCCTCGACTCTCTCTGTCCGGGCATCCTTCTCTCTCGGACAGATTCTCTTCTAAGGAAACGACAGAAGACTCGTCGCCGATTTATACCAAAAAGACTTTAGGGACACCAATTTCTGTAAGTCTTTTTGATATACCAGTAAATCGGGACAAAGGACTTGACCAGGAGTTCCCAGCCCTTTTCTTGCGTTGACCTTTTATAGAAATTCTTTTCAATCAGTCTCCTTAAAATTTTTATTTTCCAACATTTTGCTTAATATATCGATTAAATTATTAAATCAGTCGATGAATTTCTCACGATTGTTGTTATTCATATCTGAAAATTAAATTCTCGAAATAGTAGTATCCGATTGTTCTATAGACCCCTTTTAAGTTCCACCGACCCCCATCGGGATGTCGCTGGAATTTTAAAGTTTCCTATCGAGATCTATCAATATATCGACCTCGATAGGAAACTCTGGACTACACGGTTCCTCTTTAGTTTTTTTTTTTTTTTTTCTGTTCTAAGTTGTTTGATCGATCTGCACCAAAATTTTCTAGGTCACTGGGAAAAATAGACTTCCACGCGGTGGGCACCCAGAGACTTTGGCATCTTCCGAAGGAAAACAAAAAAATATTTTCATTTAGTCCTAGTTCATATCCACGTACAGAGCTCTATTCCACGAGAAGCCGTATTCTTAAAATACAGAATAAAGAACGCGTTAGTAGTTTCGACACAGTGTGAACGGTTCCTAGTAGTATCTAATCCGGAACTACCCACCTCTACTATACAACACGTGGCATGGGATTGAAGCTTTCGGTTCGGTACGTACAGACTCGTTTATATCAAAGCAAGCAAACATTTCTTTTTTTTAAAAATTAATATGCCTCAATGTCCTTAATTTATTCAAATATTATTTCATTCACCAGTACAGTGTGTATTTCTATTAATAGGACTACAGTAGTAAACTGCTATTTAAGATTACTGCAAATCAGTCACACAGATTAAAATTGTTTTAATTACATTTATAGGTAAAAGTTTAATAGTCCTATTAATAAAAATACACACTGTACTGGTGAATGAAATGATATTTGAATTTTTTTTTAAACTCTTTCCGCTCTGTGGGCACTAAGAGGGTCTCTTTTTGCAAGCCCATTATGGTTCGGCCAGGCCCACAGTGGGGCTGCCGGATGGTGAGGGACGGGGCCCGCCATATCCGAATGGACCACCCCCCGAAAAATTCCTGGGGATTTTTCGACCCGTTTGGATTCGAACCCAGGTCCTCTGGAGCAGTAGGCTGCCACATTGACCGCTCGCCCATCCGGCCACTAGCAAGTAAACATAATACACGTAAAGCTAGATAACAAGCAGCTGCACCCGGCAACCGTATTACAAATACATATGCAAACAGTCTTAAAAAACAATACACACAATCCACGGCGTTCATTGACAAACATACAAAACCATACACGGTTGTGCAAGAAAGAACTACACGGTACCCAAAGCACTACACAAAAGTCTAGAAACATTAAAGTTTCGCAGCATGCATCAAATTTCGGAAAGCGACCCGCATTAAACACCTCGTGTACTCGAACGGCACGTAACCACAATAGCAGTTTTTCTGTAACTATACCTCGACTTTGGTCCCGTACGGTACCAATTTTTACCTGGTAAGATACGATCCGCCGACATTGTAATAATGAAACAGAGGGTTTCGTATAAATACAAACATTTATTAGCTGATTGCTAATTGAGTGTCGAATCCAATACAAATTGTGTAATCTATCATAAATATAATTATTCAGTGTTTACATCACACTGCATTTTTTGGTCGACTTTAAATAAAAATATTCTTTTCTGTATAGTAGTAACAATAATATCAACAATTTCATAGATATAAAAACTTCTGAAAGATGCGAAGTTGCATTTAAAAAAACAGTCATGATGAGTTTTGCAGTTTTTCTACACTAGTAGTAGTCATCGACTTTGTTGAGTACTACTACTGTAAATCGCTAGATTCTTCTTATAATCTGACTACGTACCGTTCTTTGTTGACTAAATTGTGATCTGCGGACGGTCCGTTAATCATCTCTGTCCTGTTTAAAAACACTTTTATATTTTTCGTTGGATGAAAACGTAAATAGTAAGTAATCTGGAAAATAATTTATATATTAAAACCTGGTAATGCATTTAAACCACTTACTAAATCTGAGTAAATATGATTTAATTTGTTTGAGGATAAAAGTTATGTACAGAATTGTTAATTATCTTTTAGAATCGTCCCTCTGTTTTACTCACCAAGGCAGAGAAGAACCTCGAAATAAGACTTCATCGTGTGATTTTGTTGCGGTTTTGGAGGCGTGTAAAAATAGTGTGTCTTTGTAATCTGTCCTGATATTTTTTGAGAGTTTCTTGTATTATACGAATTGTATATGAACTGTTCTTGGATTTTTATAGAATTTTTCAAAATGAAATGAAGATTCATTTCAGAAGTGACAATTTGGAATTAACACACGAAATATTACTAATCATTATATCTATATTTATATCAAAGTAAATTATGATAAACTGCCCACCTGTTTATGATTTTATTTCTAACAAAAACAAATTAATTTATACTAAATATTGTATAAATAAACTTTTTAGTATTTTTTTCTGTTTTGATTATACTTTCAATTACCAAATAATTAAAACACGATGTAATTATTGAGATTTTATTTCAATAATTCATAAATATTTTCAATTTCAATCATTATTTAAATATTATCTTCAGAATAAATACAATATTTCAAATTAAAATATTAAAGCAATTTAGAATCATACCAATAAACTTTTACTTATCATGTTTATTATATTTTAAATGAAAAGTAATCTAAAATTACTTAAGTTTACAAAAATAGATTCTGATTTCAGTCAATACAACTGTTTCCTGTTTCATTGGATAATGAAAGCATGCTAAGTATTTTAAATAAGCATTGTGTGAAACTAAAGCTTCAGATTGATTAGAAAACAAATTTTATTTATATACAGTCGACCCCCCTATAATTATGGTCCCTATAGTTACGATTCCTATAAAACTACGAAAAAATTGCTACCGGTATCCATAAAAAATAGTAAAACTTCCCTATAAACACCTCAAACGTCATCGGGAAGCCGAACTACTTTCCCGCCGTCCGTAGCGCCACGCTACGGAGAGATTTCTATCGTCTGGACAGTATTATATAAATTATATATAAATTAGGTACTGTACATATAATTATATATTAATTATATATAAATTAGGTACTGTATATATAATTATATATTAACTTATTGTAACTTTGTTATAATTAAATATATAATTTCCGCCGTCTAGCGTGGCGCCACGCTACGGAGATTTTTACGCTAACTATCGTCTGTCAGTATGTAAATTAGGTACCGTAAGTCTAATACAGTACTGTAATTTTATACATTTCTTGTGAAAGAAACATTTCTTATTCAACGGCGATTAAAATTATTTATATTAATGATGTCTCCGAAGTTCTACGAAGTTTTCACAGAAAAATAAGTTGTTAGAAATCGGCCGCTCTTTGCTGAGCTGTTCCGCGACGAAAACAATGTTGAGCAATGGCAATGTCGAATGGTGACACTCGGTAAGTAATCCTACAATTTTTTGTTTATAGCGTAGTTTATACGGATTATTCCCAAAAAATATATACGTATTTTGGAAATGTTGAGTCGGATTAGTCTAGAATCGATTAATTTTATGGAAGAAAATCTTTCAAACAGCCGTAGTCCGTAAACTTGACACGTGTCGGATTGTGATTGGAAGGATTCGTAAGAAAGCGGATTCCTAGAGAATGGAACGTATCTCTATCTTATAGGGGGGTCGACTGTATTGTAAGTAATAAATGCTAAAATCTTTTATACCCGAGTTTAATTCAACTAACACAGTCCCTCAGGCATTTTGTACTCAAAGGTGTACGGTGTCCCAGACTTTTCAAAAACTGATATTAATTTACATTATTCTCTTACAATTTAAAGGTGGACCATTGACGGTAATAAAGCTAAACTAAATTAACCACTGTAATATGTTAAGTCGGCATTTTGTGCACGGATGTGATTTTTACGAAATTTACATTTGCATGAAATTCTATGCTAAACAAGAATTTGTGTAGCATAGAAATACATTAAAATTCCAGATTTGCTCCTTAACACATTAATATTTAATAAGGTAAAGCTACCAATTATTTTTTTGATTTAAAGTAAAAATTGGTACAAAAACTTGCAAGCATACGAAAAAAAAATTTCTTAAAAAATTCAGGAGAAAGTTACTTGTGTATTATTTACATATCTGTTAGATCAGTGTAATTCACTGAATTCTTCATTGCTGGAGAGCTACTGTGTTCAAAGTTAATCACTATTTTACAACCTCAAACAAATGTATCCAGTACATCAATTTTAATTTTTGCACAAGTAACGAGATTTATTATTGTTTTCTATTATAAGAATGTACTTTTTTAAAAATTACTTAAAATCAGACTGTATAAATTGTGACAATGCAATTTGTTTAGAGTTGTATGACCTGTCTGAATGTTAAAATGCGATTGCAAACATTTCATTTTAATTTTTCGTTTAACATTCTCTTACTGACGTTGCAGAGAATGTAAACTTTTACCTAAAACTTATATAATACTTTTTAAAACACGAGCACTGCATAACGATTGTATAAATATCACTCGCTGCATTTAAATATAAAAACATTTTGCAACTTTAAAATGATGTATTAGACAAAATTATAAATTTGAGAAAAATCTTAAGAATTTAATTTCAATAAAATCTTTTTCAGAAACACTCTCCAATAAGAAAGTCTCAATACATGTTAATAGTGATTTAAATGGTAACATTTATCATTTTTCATCATTGTAATAAAAAAGTTTTATGAAATAAGAATTAAGTTTGCTTTCAGTTTATTAATTTTGTGAAATCCGCGATTTTTACGCCAATGTCAAAAAAATATTTTGTAAACAACTCCGATGAAAAACATACTCTTGGTATGAAGTATATCGGAGGTCACCGATTGTTTTCACAATTAGGTGGGAAAGTTGACACTTAGTCAATCGGAATGCACCGTTAGTGTCAACAGAAGTCAATCATGTGACTCCTTTCCCACGAAGAACGTATAAAAGTTCGAGCCCCCAGAAGCTCCGGGCGACCAAAGAAAGTTATACTTATCAATGTGTGCATCTTGTCTCCATACACCGGATATAGCGACAGAAAGGACATCGCCATACAACAGAAAGCCACTTCAAACTTCCATTGCCATTCTACAGTTCCTGCACTGACTACAATTCATATGGCCCATTCAACAAACGCATATTAGTCATATCCTTATAGAGGTATTTGCATTTTCGAGCATTGTGAACTCTCTCTCAGGATAGCCGTTAGAGCTGTTAGAACGGCCTGTTTTTATAGTTAACTCATATTTAATCGCCGTTAGCCTATGTATTGTTATAGCGTCTTGTATCTTAGCTTAATTAATCAAATAAATGCTTGTTTATTTTGTTAAACCTGTCTCTAAAGGACATCTGCCAGCTTCCTCACCTCCCTCCCCATTCGATTTGCCCTCCTAAGCCATCCTACGACTGTGGGATCGGGTTTTACCAACCTGTTGCAGCGTAAGCAGTCATTAGGGATCAGCCCAGTGGCCCTCTGCATATCTCACAATTTTTATTCTCGAAACAGGTAACAAGATTTACTCCTGAATAATGAATAAAAAATTGTTTTCTTCTTCTCTTGAAGCTCAGTTTTACAGTAGTCAATTAACAATAGTGTGAATTATTAAATAAAAAGAATTTAGTGACTAATAAACAAGCAAAATGATTATATTATTACAAGTATAATGTCTTAAATGGGTACTATAGCACCTGGATAATCGGATACCCCAATATTTGAGTACTAAAATTATAAAATGAAAAATTATACACAACTTACCATAAATGCAAATCCCAATAAAAATAATGCATAATGTACCACAAAAATTGGCAGTCGATAGTTCAGAAAATTATTGCCGTAGAAATTCCATATTAACATGAGAATGCTATTTTCTGTAATCATAACAGAATAGTAAATGAAATATCTGTGTCGAGTTGGAGAATCTACTGGATTGAAATAACAGAAGATAAAGATGATTCCAACAACGGCATTATAAAGTACTTCCTCAAACCTGAAACAGAAACAATCATTTTTGTAATCGTCTGGACATAACAAACAAAATTGTCATGATTTACATTTGAATTGCCTGTAAATTACAAATAAAAATGTATTTATATTATTTTTAATATAATTAATGCACAAATTATACTTTGTGTTAAGTCTGTATTAATAGCATATCCTAAATCTAAAAGTGAGGTTTAGAAAAAGCTATAAAACAAAAATTCAAAATAAATTCTAGCCTCATGTATATGATAATATATGAAGCAAATATGCCCAAAGACATGAAAAAACACTAAACTACATCATGATAAATAAAAGTTGTAATTGCAATGTATATAAATTTTATTTAGATGTCAATTTTTTCCAAAATTTCCTTTGTGTAGTTTTGATGAGACTATTATAAAAATTCTGAGCATCATTTTTGTTGCATCAGCATAAGACAACGGATGCAAGAAGAATCACTTTTTTGTATTTTGTTACCAAATCCTTAACCCCTTATTTTTAGGCTTTTTGAATAGCTTACAAACGAAATATAATATTTATAGCAGACTTCTGAAGATTTGAAAACATGATTATGCATAAACTACTTATATATCAAAACATCTGCCACAGTAATTAAATTATAAAACTTGACATATAAAAGAAGTTGGCAACCTGTAGTTCCCCACATACAAGATGCTACTCTTCCTCTATACAGAATATTTTCATAGTTATTGATCCACAGCTTAGTGAAATCTTTACTATGAGATAGCTATAGTTTGTAGGCTGTAGATAAAAACTTGCATAATAATTTTTCATAGATTTTTCTCATACCATAGAACAACTCTTCCAAGGATTAGTTTAAAAATGATTGCACCAGGGAAGCCTTTTCATTACATACAGGCATCATCATCATCGGCATCATCATCATCATCATCATCATCATGAAGATTGTACAGATGTTTTCAAACATTACGGCTGTGATTTAATGGAAGGGAATGTGGCTGTGGAATAGGAAAATGTTACAAAATGAATATAGAAGTGAAACTTAAAAATGTGGCTTAAAATTAATTTTAGATGATATTGTAATATAAGAAGTCAGTGTTACATATATTTAAATGTATAAAATAAATAAGATAATCATTAAAAAAATAAAATAATAATGAGAATAAATTGAAAAATAATATTAAATTAAAAAGTATTGGTGAAGAAATGATAAAAATTACAACTCAGTGGCACAATTTGTAACAAAAACTCTGCATTGTTAATGCTTTTGAAAGATTAATGCATTCAAGTTTTCAACATTTACAATTTCTTAGTCACTATTATAATGTCTGCTTGATAAAAGAAAATTACTAAATCATCATTTTTTTTTATAAGTGACTATTGCAGAACAGATATCTTCTATCTTTATTATCTAATATCTTACAATAATTTGGTTTATAGCAAAATGTGAAATCAGTTTTATTGTGTTTATTGTAGCTTATTCCTTTATATAAACAAGACATCCAAAAATTTTTTAAATCATAAAAAACAGTACATTCTTGCTAATCTGGGTCCTCATTTATCCAGCACATCCCCCTAGTGCGATTGCCTATACACTTCTGTTTCCATGAAAACATTAGCTGTGTTAGACATCCAGTTCTCCTGTTTACTCAGGCTTCTATCCTGTTTATTGTCAGCATGCTGTACTATTTTTCCTCATGTCTCCAAGAAGAATCAGTACTAGGTCACATTGTTCATTACCCTTAGGCCTATACGCTCAGTAATCCAGCAAGCTCGCTAATCTGCCACCTATTGATGTAAGGAACAGTCAAATTTGCAAGAGTGTTTTCTTATATATTATTTTTATCAAAAATATACCAAATTCCTCACAATGCTTTAACCACAGAAATTAGTTATATTTTAGTCTAATCACTATTTTGTGTTCTCAAATTCTAGTTCACAGCTGTCTCCCTGTTTCCCCTATATAATTAACTGTATTTACATATGTACAATTAAGTTTATAGACTACCCCCAGCCTCCTCCAAATTGTCTTCTTTCCTGTTTTATTACATTATTTTATTTTTCATTCCTACATTTATGAGCATATGGCAATTATACATGTATGTAATACATAAATTTAAACGATGGGATAAAAACACAAGGCGTGAGAATGGATATCATGCAGAAAAAAGCTTGCAACAAAACATATATCATCAATTGATGATATACAAATAGTGGAAATTTTATAAATTGTTTTATTTGCTTTGTATAAAAGAGAAAGGTCAGTTTATAAGTTTGTTTTTTTATATAATACTAGCAGACCCCGCCACGCGTTGTTGTGGCTCAAAGTGTATAAATGTATAACACTTCCCCGTGTGGGGGGAAATTTTTCGAAAAATTTCTTTTTAGTGTACATTCTCTTGGCGTGCCCTATTAAAACGCAATCAAAAACGCAAAAACCCGCACCTAAAACAGTATAATAGAAATCAAGTTCTTCAAGGTAAGCCTTAATCCTGTCCCTCTCCCCCACGGGGGGGAATATTGAAAAATTCCTTTTTAGTGTATATTCTGTTGACATACCGTATTAAAACGGAATCAAAAACACAAAAAACCGCATCTAAAATAGTAGAAATAGAAGCAGAGTTCTTTATGGTAAGCCTTAATCTTGTTCATCTCCCCCCAGTGGGGGAATTTCGACACGTATATTATATAAAAACANCATTCCGTCAGGCAAAGTTAGTAAGAGGAAATTAATTACTCAAAAAATAAAATAAATTTTTAAATACTTTTCGTTTTCCAGGAAACGGAAAATTAATAATAGTGAAAATAAAAACCTTTCCTTAAAAAACGACAAAGCAAAACTAGACAATGTAAGTCCAAAGATCAACTCCCTGCGGTTGGGATCGTTGCGAGTTAAACGTCGATTTTGACTCTTCCCGCCACGTAAGTCTAGATCTCGATTCACTTAGCAACAAGGACGACCACTTAGAAAGTGAAGAGGAAAATCGAACGATCGGGGACAGAAAATAACAATAACCCCCGAATTTCGATTTCTCCGAGTTGCCGAACCTTTTTTTGGTCGCGTATTCAACGTCACCCTCGACTCTCTCTGTCCGGGCATCCTTCTCTCTCGGACAGATTCTCTTCTAAGGAAACGACAGAAGACTCGTCGCCGATTTATACCAAAAAGACTTTAGGGACACCAATTTCTGTAAGTCTTTTTGATATATCAGTAAATCGGGACAAAGGACTTGACCAGGAGTTCCCAGCCCTTTTCTTGCGTTGACCTTTTATAGAAATTCTTTTCAATCAGTCTCCTTAAAATTTTTATTTTCCAACATTTTGCTTAATATATCGATTAAATTATTAAATCAGTCGATGAATTTCTCACGATTGTTGTTATTCATATCTGAAAATTAAATTCTCGAAATAGTAGTATCCGATTGTTCTATAGACCCCTTTTAAGTTCCACCGACCCCCATCGGGATGTCGCTGGAATTTTAAAGTTTCCTATCGAGATCTATCAATATATCGACCTCGATAGGAAACTCTGGACTACACGGTTCCTCTTTAGTTTTTTTTTTTTTTTTTATCTGTTCTAAGTTGTTTGATCGATCTGCACCAAAATTTTCTAGGTCACTGGGAAAAATAGACTTCCACGCGGTGGGCACCCAGAGACTTTGGCATCTTCCGAAGGAAAACAAAAAAATATTTTCATTTAGTCCTAGTTCATATCCACGTACAGAGCTCTATTCCACGAGAAGCCGTATTCTTAAAATACAGAATAAAGAACGCGTTAGTAGTTTCGACACAGTGTGAACGGTTCCTAGTAGTATCTAATCCGGAACTACCCACCTCTACTATACAACACGTGGCATGGGATTGAAGCTTTCGGTTCGGTACGTACAGACTCGTTTATATCAAAGCAAGCAAACATTTCTTTTTTTTAAAAATTAATATGCCTCAATGTCCTTAATTTATTCAAATATTATTTCATTCACCAGTACAGTGTGTATTTCTATTAATAGGACTACAGTAGTAAACTGCTATTTAAGATTACTGCAAATCAGTCACACAGATTAAAATTGTTTTAATTACATTTATAGGTAAAAGTTTAATAGTCCTATTAATAAAAATACACACTGTACTGGTGAATGAAATGATATTTGAATTTTTTTTTAAACTCTTTCCGCTCTGTGGGCACTAAGAGGGTCTCTTTTTGCAAGCCCATTATGGTTCGGCCAGGCCCACAGTGGGGCTGCCGGATGGTGAGGGACGGGGCCCGCCATATCCGAATGGACCACCCCCCGAAAAATTCCTGGGGATTTTTCGACCCGTTTGGATTCGAACCCAGGTCCTCTGGAGCAGTAGGCTGCCACATTGACCGCTCGCCCATCCGGCCACTAGCAAGTAAACATAATACACGTAAAGCTAGATAACAAGCAGCTGCACCCGGCAACCGTATTACAAATACATATGCAAACAGTCTTAAAAAACAATACACACAATCCACGGCGTTCATTGACAAACATACAAAACCATACACGGTTGTGCAAGAAAGAACTACACGGTACCCAAAGCACTACACAAAAGTCTAGAAACATTAAAGTTTCGCAGCATGCATCAAATTTCGGAAAGCGACCCGCATTAAACACCTCGTGTACTCGAACGGCACGTAACCACAATAGCAGTTTTTCTGTAACTATACCTCGACTTTGGTCCCGTACGGTACCAATTTTTACCTGGTAAGATACGATCCGCCGACATTGTAATAATGAAACAGAGGGTTTCGTATAAATACAAACATTTATTAGCTGATTGCTAATTGAGTGTCGAATCCAATACAAATTGTGTAATCTATCATAAATATAATTATTCAGTGTTTACATCACACTGCATTTTTTGGTCGACTTTAAATAAAAATATTCTTTTCTGTATAGTAGTAACAATAATATCAACAATTTCATAGATATAAAAACTTCTGAAAGATGCGAAGTTGCATTTAAAAAAACAGTCATGATGAGTTTTGCAGTTTTTCTACACTAGTAGTAGTCATCGACTTTGTTGAGTACTACTACTGTAAATCGCTAGATTCTTCTTATAATCTGACTACGTACCGTTCTTTGTTGACTAAATTGTGATCTGCGGACGGTCCGTTAATCATCTCTGTCCTGTTTAAAAACACTTTTATATTTTTCGTTGGATGAAAACGTAAATAGTAAGTAATCTGGAAAATAATTTATATATTAAAACCTGGTAATGCATTTAAACCACTTACTAAATCTGAGTAAATATGATTTAATTTGTTTGAGGATAAAAGTTATGTACAGAATTGTTAATTATCTTTTAGAATCGTCCCTCTGTTTTACTCACCAAGGCAGAGAAGAACCTCGAAATAAGACTTCATCGTGTGATTTTGTTGCGGTTTTGGAGGCGTGTAAAAATAGTGTGTCTTTGTAATCTGTCCTGATATTTTTTGAGAGTTTCTTGTATTATACGAATTGTATATGAACTGTTCTTGGATTTTTATAGAATTTTTCAAAATGAAATGAAGATTCATTTCAGAAGTGACAATTTGGAATTAACACACGAAATATTACTAATCATTATATCTATATTTATATCAAAGTAAATTATGATAAACTGCCCACCTGTTTATGATTTTATTTCTAACAAAAACAAATTAATTTATACTAAATATTGTATAAATAAACTTTTTAGTATTTTTTTCTGTTTTGATTATACTTTCAATTACCAAATAATTAAAACACGATGTAATTATTGAGATTTTATTTCAATAATTCATAAATATTTTCAATTTCAATCATTATTTAAATATTATCTTCAGAATAAATACAATATTTCAAATTAAAATATTAAAGCAATTTAGAATCATACCAATAAACTTTTACTTATCATGTTTATTATATTTTAAATGAAAAGTAATCTAAAATTACTTAAGTTTACAAAAATAGATTCTGATTTCAGTCAATACAACTGTTTCCTGTTTCATTGGATAATGAAAGCATGCTAAGTATTTTAAATAAGCATTGTGTGAAACTAAAGCTTCAGATTGATTAGAAAACAAATTTTATTTATATACAGTCGACCCCCCTATAATTACGGTCCCTATAGTTACGATTCCTATAAAACTACGAAAAAATTGCTACCGGTATCCGTAAAAAATAGTAAAAGTTCCCTATAAACACCTCAAACGTCATCGGGAAGCCGAACTACTTTCCCGCCGTCCGTAGCGCCACGCTACGGAGAGATTTCTATCGTCTGGACAGTATTATATAAATTATATATAAATTAGGTACTGTACATATAATTATATATTAATTATATATAAATTAGGTACTGTATATATAATTATATATTAACTTATTGTAACTTTGTTATAATTAAATATATAATTTCCGCCGTCTAGCGTGGCGCCACGCTACGGAGATTTTTACGCTAACTATCGTCTGTCAGTATGTAAATTAGGTACCGTAAGTCTAATACAGTACTGTAATTTTATACATTTCTTGTGAAAGAAACATTTCTTATTCAACGGCGATTAAAATTATTTATATTAATGATGTCTCCGAAGTTCTACGAAGTTTTCACAGAAAAATAAGTTGTTAGAAATCGGCCGCTCTTTGCTGAGCTGTTCCGCGACGAAAACAATGTTGAGCAATGGCAATGTCGAATGGTGACACTCGGTAAGTAATCCTACAATTTTTTGTTTATAGCGTAGTTTATACGGATTATTCCCAAAAAATATATACGTATTTTGGAAATGTTGAGTCGGATTAGTCTAGAATCGATTAATTTTATGGAAGAAAATCTTTCAAACAGCCGTAGTCCGTAAACTTGACACGTGTCGGATTGTGATTGGAAGGATTCGTAAGAAAGCGGATTCCTAGAGAATGGAACGTATCTCTATCTTATAGGGGGGTCGACTGTATTGTAAGTAATAAATGCTAAAATCTTTTATACCCGAGTTTAATTCAACTAACACAGTCCCTCAGGCATTTTGTACTCAAAGGTGTACGGTGTCCCAGACTTTTCAAAAACTGATATTAATTTACATTATTCTCTTACAATTTAAAGGTGGACCATTGACGGTAATAAAGCTAAACTAAATTAACCACTGTAATATGTTAAGTCGGCATTTTGTGCACGGATGTGATTTTTACGAAATTTACATTTGCATGAAATTCTATGCTAAACAAGAATTTGTGTAGCATAGAAATACATTAAAATTCCAGATTTGCTCCTTAACACATTAATATTTAATAAGGTAAAGCTACCAATTATTTTTTTGATTTAAAGTAAAAATTGGTACAAAAACTTGCAAGCATACGAAAAAAAAATTTCTTAAAAAATTCAGGAGAAAGTTACTTGTGTATTATTTACATATCTGTTAGATCAGTGTAATTCACTGAATTCTTCATTGCTGGAGAGCTACTGTGTTCAAAGTTAATCACTATTTTACAACCTCAAACAAATGTATCCAGTACATCAATTTTAATTTTTGCACAAGTAACGAGATTTATTATTGTTTTCTATTATAAGAATGTACTTTTTTAAAAATTACTTAAAATCAGACTGTATAAATTGTGACAATGCAATTTGTTTAGAGTTGTATGACCTGTCTGAATGTTAAAATGCGATTGCAAACATTTCATTTTAATTTTTCGTTTAACATTCTCTTACTGACGTTGCAGAGAATGTAAACTTTTACCTAAAACTTATATAATACTTTTTAAAACACGAGCACTGCATAACGATTGTATAAATATCACTCGCTGCATTTAAATATAAAAACATTTTGCAACTTTAAAATGATGTATTAGACAAAATTATAAATTTGAGAAAAATCTTAAGAATTTAATTTCAATAAAATCTTTTTCAGAAACACTCTCCAATAAGAAAGTCTCAATACATGTTAATAGTGATTTAAATGGTAACATTTATCATTTTTCATCATTGTAATAAAAAAGTTTTATGAAATAAGAATTAAGTTTGCTTTCAGTTTATTAATTTTGTGAAATCCGCGATTTTTACGCCAATGTCAAAAAAATATTTTGTAAACAACTCCGATGAAAAACATACTCTTGGTATGAAGTATATCAGAGGTCACCGATTGTTTTCACAATTAGGTGGGAAAGTTGACACTTAGTCAATCGGAATGCACCGTTAGTGTCAACAGAAGTCAATCATGTGACTCCTTTCCCACGAAGAACGTATAAAAGTTCGAGCCCCCAGAAGCTCCGGGTGACCAAAGAAAGTTATACTTATCAATGTGTGCATCTTGTCTCCATACACCGGATATAGCGACAGAAAGGACATCGCCATACAACAGAAAGCCACTTCAAACTTCCATTGCCATTCTACAGTTCCTGCACTGACTACAATTCATATGGCCCATTCAACAAACGCATATTAGTCATATCCTTATAGAGGTATTTGCATTTTCGAGCATTGTGAACTCTCTCTCAGGATAGCCGTTAGAGCTGTTAGAACGGCCTGTTTTTATAGTTAACTCATATTTAATCGCCGTTAGCCTATGTATTGTTATAGCGTCTTGTATCTTAGCTTAATTAATCAAATAAATGCTTGTTTATTTTGTTAAACCTGTCTCTAAAGGACATCTGCCAGCTTCCTCACCTCCCTCCCCATTCGATTTGCCCTCCTAAGCCATCCTACGACTGTGGGATCGGGTTTTACCAACCTGTTGCAGCGTAAGCGGTCATTAGGGATCAGCCCAGTGGCCCTCTGCATATCTCACAATTTTTATTCTCGAAACAGGTAACAAGATTTACTCCTGAATAATGAATAAAAAATTGTTTTCTTCTTCTCTTGAAGCTCAGTTTTACAGTAGTCAATTAACAATAGTGTGAATTATTAAATAAAAAGAATTTAGTGACTAATAAACAAGCAAAATGATTATATTATTACAAGTATAATGTCTTAAATGGGTACTATAGCACCTGGATAATCGGATACCCCAATATTTGAGTACTAAAATTATAAAATGAAAAATTATACACAACTTACCATAAATGCAAATCCCAATAAAAATAATGCATAATGTACCACAAAAATTGGCAGTCGATAGTTCAGAAAATTATTGCCGTAGAAATTCCATATTAACATGAGAATGCTATTTTCTGTAATCATAACAGAATAGTAAATGAAATATCTGTGTCGAGTTGGAGAATCTACTGGATTGAAATAACAGAAGATAAAGATGATTCCAACAACGGCATTATAAAGTACTTCCTCAAACCTGAAACAGAAACAATCATTTTTGTAATCGTCTGGACATAACAAACAAAATTGTCATGATTTACATTTGAATTGCCTGTAAATTACAAATAAAAATGTATTTATATTATTTTTAATATAATTAATGCACAAATTATACTTTGTGTTAAGTCTGTATTAATAGCATATCCTAAATCTAAAAGTGAGGTTTAGAAAAAGCTATAAAACAAAAATTCAAAATAAATTCTAGCCTCATGTATATGATAATATATGAAGCAAATATGCCCAAAGACATGAAAAAACACTAAACTACATCATGATAAATAAAAGTTGTAATTGCAATGTATATAAATTTTATTTAGATGTCAATTTTTTCCAAAATTTCCTTTGTGTAGTTTTGATGAGACTATTATAAAAATTCTGAGCATCATTTTTGTTGCATCAGCATAAGACAACGGATGCAAGAAGAATCACTTTTTTGTATTTTGTTACCAAATCCTTAACCCCTTATTTTTAGGCTTTTTGAATAGCTTACAAACGAAATATAATATTTATAGCAGACTTCTGAAGATTTGAAAACATGATTATGCATAAACTACTTATATATCAAAACATCTGCCACAGTAATTAAATTATAAAACTTGACATATAAAAGAAGTTGGCAACCTGTAGTTCCCCACATACAAGATGCTACTCTTCCTCTATACAGAATATTTTCATAGTTATTGATCCACAGCTTAGTGAAATCTTTACTATGAGATAGCTATAGTTTGTAGGCTGTAGATAAAAACTTGCATAATAATTTTTCATAGATTTTTCTCATACCATAGAACAACTCTTCCAAGGATTAGTTTAAAAATGATTGCACCAGGGAAGCCTTTTCATTACATACAGGCATCATCATCATCATCATCATCATCATCATCATCATCATCATGAAGATTGTACAGATGTTTTCAAACATTACGGCTGTGATTTAATGGAAGGGAATGTGGCTGTGGAATAGGAAAATGTTACAAAATGAATATAGAAGTGAAACTTAAAAATGTGGCTTAAAATTAATTTTAGATGATATTGTAATATAAGAAGTCAGTGTTACATATATTTAAATGTATAAAATAAATAAGATAATCATTAAAAAAATAAAATAATAATGAGAATAAATTGAAAAATAATATTAAATTAAAAAGTATTGGTGAAGAAATGATAAAAATTACAACTCAGTGGCACAATTTGTAACAAAAACTCTGCATTGTTAATGCTTTTGAAAGATTAATGCATTCAAGTTTTCAACATTTACAATTTCTTAGTCACTATTATAATGTCTGCTTGATAAAAGAAAATTACTAAATCATCATTTTTTTTTATAAGTGACTATTGCAGAACAGATATCTTCTATCTTTATTATCTAATATCTTACAATAATTTGGTTTATAGCAAAATGTGAAATCAGTTTTATTGTGTTTATTGTAGCTTATTCCTTTATATAAACAAGACATCCAAAAATTTTTTAAATCATAAAAAACAGTACATTCTTGCTAATCTGGGTCCTCATTTATCCAGCACATCCCCCTAGTGCGATTGCCTATACACTTCTGTTTCCATGAAAACATTAGCTGTGTTAGACATCCAGTTCTCCTGTTTACTCAGGCTTCTATCCTGTTTATTGTCAGCATGCTGTACTATTTTTCCTCATGTCTCCAAGAAGAATCAGTACTAGGTCACATTGTTCATTACCCTTAGGCCTATACGCTCAGTAATCCAGCAAGCTCGCTAATCTGCCACCTATTGATGTAAGGAACAGTCAAATTTGCAAGAGTGTTTTCTTATATATTATTTTTATCAAAAATATACCAAATTCCTCACAATGCTTTAACCACAGAAATTAGTTATATTTTAGTCTAATCACTATTTTGTGTTCTCAAATTCTAGTTCACAGCTGTCTCCCTGTTTCCCCTATATAATTAACTGTATTTACATATGTACAATTAAGTTTATAGACTACCCCCAGCCTCCTCCAAATTGTCTTCTTTCCTGTTTTATTACATTATTTTATTTTTCATTCCTACATTTATGAGCATATGGCAATTATACATGTATGTAATACATAAATTTAAACGATGGGATAAAAACACAAGGCGTGAGAATGGATATCATGCAGAAAAAAGCTTGCAACAAAACATATATCATCAATTGATGATATACAAATAGTGGAAATTTTATAAATTGTTTTATTTGCTTTGTATAAAAGAGAAAGGTCAGTTTATAAGTTTGTTTTTTTATATAATACTAGCAGACCCCGCCACGCGTTGTTGTGGCTCAAAGTGTATAAATGTATAACACTTCCCCGTGTGGGGGGAAATTTTTCGAAAAATTTCTTTTTAGTGTACATTCTCTTGGCGTGCCCTATTAAAACGGAATCAAAAACACAAAAAACCGCATCTAAAATAGTAGAAATAGAAGCAGAGTTCTTTATGGTAAGCCTTAATCCTGTTCATCTCCCCCCAGTGGGGGGAATTTCGACACGTATATTATATAAAAACACGTGCGTATTCGAATGCAGCGTTGTGTGAAAATTTCAAAGGAATTGGTAGGAACAAACGAACATTACATTTTTATT